GTTAATTAACCATGCTTCACCTTTGAAAAAAAAAAAAAAAAGTGTGGGATGTTAAGGACACCAAGTGTTTGATGAATTGGCTCTTATTAGCTATTCTTGAGTCATGAGAATACTTAATTGAATATTCTAAGAGTGTGAAATTACCTCGAAAAAGACTTCCTTATGGTTATATGACATTCAACAATAAGGATGTTGCTTCTTCAACAGCCGGGAGAGGCCCACTCGACGGGGTGATAAAAAGGGGTAGTTCGAAAAGACTAAAATGGCCACTCAAATAAGCTAAGGTAAACAAACGGCTGAATGATGGAACAATACTCAGTGGTCAGATTTAATTGATAAAGTTTTAAACAATTCGATGATCAAATTTGTTCAAATTGAAAAATAAGGACTAAATTGACAATTACAAAATAATTGAGCGACCAAAACAATGATTTTACATTATTTATGTATTGAATTTACATTATTTGATAGTTACAAAATAATGTACCATCAGTACTCAAATAATGTACCTTTAGTACACAAATAATGTACATTTAATATATTAAAAATGTACATTATATTTATGGTCCACACAATTGTATACCATGATCTATGGAACAATGATTGGCATAGGGCTTGCTGGACTAATTGGGGCTGGTTTTTATTAGGAGTCTATATCATTTAGTAGTTGAGTTGTGTTAGGTCTTCTCTTGTGTACTCTTATATTCTCTCTGTACGTTTACATTCATTGAATACAGAACATATTATCCTCATCTGGTATCAAGAGTTTCACGGTCATTTCTTATGGCGGCCCTCGGTACTGATGACGGATCTGTTGGTGTTTCGTTCGAACGGACTGTCTCCGAGGCTACGCTTTCGGCTCCTCTTCAGTCGAATGTGTCATTCTCTTCCGCCCACAACTTCGTTTCGATTAAACTGACGTCCTGAAATTACCTATTCTGGCGGACGCAGTTGCTGCCGTTTCTTGATGGTCAGGGATTGCTTGGATTTGTGGATGGCTCTGCGTCGTGTCCGCCAGAGACCACGTCGGCTGTGTCTGCCGAGGGTGCGCTGGTGGCGGTTCCGGCGTGTCCTCTGCTTCTCGTGTCGCTTGGCTTCGCCAGGATAAGGCGGTGCTCTCGCTACTGATTTCCTCACTTTCAGACGAGATGATGCACCTTGCTGTTGGAGTGACGACGTCCCGGCAGCTATAGCAGTTGGTTGAGCGAGAGTTGGGGTCGACAACCCGTGCTCGTGCGCTCCGGCTTTCTGGGCAGTTGCAGTCGCTGCGGCAGGGGGATTCGTCCATCACCGATTACCTCGGCCGTGCTCGCGTCTTGGTGGAGGACTTGGCTTTGGCCGGACGACCGGTGACCTTGGAGGACCAAAACATGTTCATCTTCCGCGGGTTGCGCGCTGAGTACCGGCCATTGGTGGCGTCTTTGACGAGAGGTCCGCCTCTCGCTCTTTCTGAGCTCTCTGATTTTCTGGTTTCGCAGGCGTTTATATGCGCGGAGGATCCCGACGAGTTGGCTGCTGCTCCGGTTGCCATGGCTGCCCAGCGCGGTGGTCGTTCCGGGGAGCAGCGCGGTGGCCGTGGCGGCGTGGTGACCGCAATCGGCACGGTGGCCGCGGTCATGGTGGTGGTGTGCGATGCCAAATTTGTAACGGGTCCGGTCATTCGGCGCTGACTTGTTTTCGACGTTATTCGGATGCTCCCGGGCCGCAGGCTCATGTTGCTTTTCCGGTGGAGGATTCGGGCTCGGTGGGCTCTCAGCAGTGGTTTCCCGATACGGGTGCGTCCAACCACGCTACACCGGATCCTTCCTTGATGTCTGCTGCGGCTCCCTATTCTGGACCTGACACGCTCCGGGTTGGAAACGGTAACTCTTTACCTATTGTTGGTACTGGTTCGGCTTCGGTAGCCTCTTCTAGTTGTTTATTTAATTTATCTGATGTTCTGTTCGTTCCTGGTTTGTCTGCGTCTCTGTTATCTGTTCAGCGCTTTGCTAAAGATAATTCTATATTTGTTGAGTTTCACTCGGACTATTTTCTTGTGAAGGATCGTACCACCAAGGTGGTCCTGTATAAGGGGCTGGCCTCGGATGGTCTTTATTCGTGACCGGTCTCCCGTTCGAGTCCCGCTGCTTTTGTTGCTTCTCGTGCGTCCTCTTCTATTTGGCATAGTCGGCTGGGTCACCCTCATGATCGTGTTCTGCGTCAAATTTTGCGTCTTTGTTCGCCTAGTACTAGTCTTAGTAATAATTCGAGTCTTTGTAATGCTTGTATGCTAGGCAAGTCATCTCGATTTCCTTTGCCGCGTGTTGCTACGGCTACATCACATGTATTACAGTTAGTTTATACTGATATTTGGGGCCCAACGCCTTTTTTGTCTGTCAATGGCTTCGATATTTTGTCTTATTTGTTGATGATTATACCCGTCATATTTGATACTATCCCATGCGTGCTAAAACGGATGTGTATGCTATTTTTGATCAGTTTCGTGTTCTGGTAGAACGTTCTTATAATCGTAAAATTGTTGCTATTCAGTCCGATTTAGGGGGAGAGTATAAACGTCTCCATAAAATGTTTACCTCTCTTGGTATTAATCATCGGCAGTCCTGTGCGTATACCCACGAGCAAAATGGTCAGGTAGAACGTAGGCACCGTCATATAGTCGAAACTGGTCTTGCTTTGTTGGCTCAGGCGTCTGTTCCATCTCGTTATTGGGACTACGCTTTTGAGACCGCTATTTATCTCATTAACAGGATGCCCACTCGTGTGTTGAAAGATGATAGCCCGCATTTTCGGCTTCATCGTTCTAATCCTTCTTATTCTTTTTTGCGTGTCTTTGGGTGTCTCTGTTTTCCTCTTTTGCGTCCATACAATCGTCATAAATTGCAGTTTCGGTCCACACCGTGTGTTTTCTTGGGTTATCCGCCCTCGTTTCGTGGCTATCGTTGTCTGGATTTGTCTAACAATAAGGTTTTCGTTTGCCGCCATGTGCAGTTTGATGAAACCGTTTAACCGTTTGCTGCTTCTGTGCCTGCGTAGGTTTCAGGTTCTGGTGTGGTCTCCCTGTGGGGGGTTGGTGCCGTCAAGGTCCTGGCTGAGTATGTGGGGCATGTTTCTGATGAGCCTCCTGACCAGGTTGATGTGCCGGGTGTTGTTGATGATTCCCAGGCTTCGGATTCTCGCACGGTGTCGGATCCGGCTCCGGTTGATGTGGCGTTGGCGGGGCGGTCTGCTCGTCCACGTCGTCGGGCACCTAAGCCGGTGCTGCCTCAGTCACATGTGATGGCTACACGTAGTCGAGGACCGACTGAGCATGTTGCTTTGCTCTTTGCTTTGGATATGCCTGAACCGACGTGTTATTCTCAGGCGGTGCAGTTTCCTGAATGGCGTGAGGCCATGGACTTGGAGTTCAATGCCCTGTTGCAGAATAATACTTGGCGCCTGGTTCCGTGCACGCCTGGTATGAACGTTGTTGGTTGCAAGTGGGTGTTCCGAACCAAGCGCAAGGCGGATGGTTCGATCGAGCGTCATAAGGCACGTTTGGTTGCCAAAGACTTTAATCGGGTAGCCGGGGAGGATTTCTTTGAGACGTTTAGCCCGGTGGTTAAACCGACTACAGTCCGGATTTTATTGTCTTTGGCTGTTTCGCGTGGGTGGACGATCCGGCAGCTTGACGTCCACAACGCTTTTTTGAATGGAACGCTCGCTGAGACGGTATACATGAAGCAGCCTCCGGGTTATGAGGACAAGGCTGCCCCTGGGCATGTGTGTTTGTTACAGCGATCCTTGTACGGTCTTAAGCAGGCTCCTCGGGCGTGGTTTAATCGCCTGCACTCTTTCTTGATTTCTGTTGGTTTCACTCCGTCTAAGACTGATGTTTCCTTGTTTATTTATACTCATGACTGTGTTCATCTTTACGTGCTAGTGTATGTGGATGACATTCTGGTCATGGGCTCAGATTCCTCGCGAGTTGTTGGTCTTCTTGCGCAGTTGGCTTCAGAATTCAAGATACGTGATATGGGTGCTCCGTCTTTTTTCCTGGGTATTGAAACTGTGCCGTGGCGTGATGGTCTTTTGTTGTCTCAACAACGGTACATGCAGGATATTCTGAAACGCGCTGGCATGGTCAATTGCAAGTCATTAGCCACACCGGCTTCTCTGGCTCGTTCTTCTGAGGGTTCGGATGTTCCTTATGCTGATCTCACGCATTATCGCAGTCTTGCAGGGGCATTGCAGTATCTTACAGTTACTCGTCTGGACCTGTCGTTTGTTGTTAACAGGCTCTGCCAGCATATGCACTCTCCAACTACTGAGCATTGGAGTTGGCTTAAGCGTGTCCTATGCTACGTTAAAGGTACTATGCACTATGGTTTGTACCTTCGTAAGTCTTTGTCTACTGCTTTGCATGCTTTCTCGGACTCAGATTGGGCTGGTGATTCGGACGATCGGAAGTCCACATGTGGTTTTGCTGTCTTTCTGGGTGGCAATTCAGCACACTGTGGCGCGTTCATCTACTGAGGCTGAGTACAAGGCTCTGGCTGATGTGTCGGCGGAGGTTACTTGGTTGGCTTCTTTGCTGCGTGAGCTTGGGGTGTCCTCGGGTTCTCCACCGACTCTTTGGTGTGACAACTTAGGTGCTACTTACTTCTGTGTCAATCCGGTCTTCCATGCCCGTACGAAGCATGTCGAGATTGACTACTATTTTGTTCGTGACAAGGTGGCCAAGAAGGAGTTGCTGGTTAGTTTCATTTCTACCAAGGACCAGCTCGCGGATGTTTTCACTAAGGCTCTTTCCGGTCCTCGGTTCTCCTTCTTGCGTTACAAGCTCAATGTCGTCTCCCGTCAACCCTGTGCTTGAGGGGGAGTATTAGGAATCTATATCATTTAGTAGTTGAGTTGTGTTAGGTTTCTCTTGTGTACTCTTATATTCTCTCTGTACATTTACATTCATTGAATACAGAACATATTATCCTCATCGTTTTACCTTTACATCAACATCAATATTGTAGTAAAAAGTCATTAATATATTGTAAACTTTTATAGCAAATTATGTAAAAAACTTTATGGAATGATAAACTTTATTAAAGTAAATGAACAAGAATGCAATGATAAACATGGCCAAGAAATCCATCATATCAAATACTCAAAAGTTTTATTAAAGTTATAACAGTTTCTTTTATCCTCAAGTCATATCACAGTATATCACATACAATGTTTTGTATGTATATTTATATAGATAGGTATAAATTCCCTAACATATTTTAAGGGAACCCTACTATGCCATATTATACCCGATACAATCACGGAACAGATATAGCATATTAATACTAATACTGACAGTATTAGATACAATCTACTAAATTTACATGTTTGTATCGGGTATAATATAACATATGTGTCAAACACCTTAGAATTTTTATATCATATAGCTTTGAAGGGATGTAAATATTAAAGTATAGCAATTAAGGGTTGTTCCCAATAAGGATGATCAGATCAGAGATTGACATGAGAGATCATGTCCATTAGATCAAGCTCCTTTGGTTCACCAAACATCATCGGAGGCATGTCATAAGCCATCTCCTCCATATACTTCTCATCCAATTCCAGAGGCCCACCTGGAATATCTTCAATGAAAGACTCAATCCCATTTCCACCAAACAACTTCTCATCCAATGCGAAATCATAGTCCGAGACTAAACGGTCCCCGCTGCAGTACTCCATGGGCTCCGCCTTCGGTGGCGGCGGTGGTGGCGGAGGCGCCACCACCACCGCCATCGTGGATGCCTCAGCGTTGGTTGACGAGTTCCTCCGGTTGGCCCCCGCGCCACCGTTTTTCTCTGAGTTCAGGACGGTCTTAATGTAGTTCTGTGTAAAATAACATATATATATATAGGCAAATTATCAAATCGTTATGCAGTGAAACCGTGTCCGCATTGCAAGGTGGACACGGTTTTATGTTCATAATTACTTAACTATATGTTCATAATTTTTTAATTTCATATTCATAATTATTAAACTCTATATTCACAATTACAGAACTCTATGTTCATAATTACTGAACTATATGTTCATAATTATAAAGCTATATATTCATAATTTTTTAATTTCATATTTAAAATTATTGAATCTCTATATTCATAATTACAGAACTATATATACATAATTATGTTCACAACTCTATGTTCATAATTATATAACTATATGTTCATAATTTTTGAAATATATATTCATAATTATTAACAGTTTTAGAACGGTGTCCATCTTCCAAGGTGGACACGGTTCCACAACATAATTTGCCGCAAATTATACCATAGACCAATGTCCACATTACATTGTGGATCCTGCTCTAAAAAGATATTCGCATTATATATGTGTTTGCAATTAATATATTATATAACTGCAGTTCGGATTATATACATATAAAAAACTTAAAGACACATAATAAGTTAATTGCATGTACATAATTCATTAATTACATACACATAATATGTTAAGTGAATATACATAATATGTTAATTGTAGTATATAAATAAATTTATTAACTGAAAGTACATACTCTCTTTTGTCACATTTTATGTGTCTGATTCGGTTAACCAAATTTTACTAGAGTTATTTTTAATTCAATTTTTATAATATTAAATTTAGTATTAGTATATAAAATTTATATATTTAAAAATTATATTAAAATACTATTAAACACAAAAAATTAAATTTAATAAAAATAATAAATAAAATAAGTAAAAAGAATAAATTGATTTGACCAATGAATAGTAAATAAGTAATATACTACAATAAGTAAATAATTTTAATGTTTTTTTTAGACTAAGATTTATAATGTAAGGTGGACCGTAGTCCATAGTATAAGAATTGATATTTATATTATTGGATGGGAAAGTAAAGTTTACCTGCAAGAGAGAGCTAGGTCTGGGCCACTTTGTGCGGCACTTTCGGCGGGAGAATTGCCTTCGCTTGGTGGCGTTCCAGTGGTTCTTGATGGAGTTTTCAGTTCTTCCGGGGAGGCGTTTCGCGATTTCTGCCCATTTGTTCCCAACTTCTACGTGAGCTTTGATCAGGATCTCATCTTCCTCCTCACTCCATACGTCCTTCTGCATGCACCCATATACAGTAATATATATATATATATATATATATATATATATATATATATATATATATATATATATATATATATATATATATATATATATATATATATGGTCAAATAATTTCTTTTCCATATTTAAGCATATAAAATTTTTATTATGGTTTCTTCATTTTCAAGTCCAACACAAATTGGGTAAGAAATGTACAAAAAATAAAGAAGAATGACAGGAATAATGAGTAAAATGAGATGCTAGATAGCTAAGTATTCGTTTGACCTTGAGTTGTTTTTTGAATTGGATAATAATTGGATTGTTACGTTGCAATGTCATTTCTACTACAAAAGTCATATGAACTATTTTAGAAAATCCCTCGTGCCCTTTACTTTCATGCGATTTGTAAAGCAAAATTGGAGCCACTTCCTCCCACCATACCTCCTTTGACTTCTCACATATGTTTACCCCCTTTTTGTTGCATCGTGTAACACTCACATTGCTAATTTTGTCCTATCCAATTTCCTCCCAATAATTTAACTATTCATAATCATAACCACTCCCACTCGAATTGGCTACCATGTAATCATGTCAATCTCCCCAACCCTCATTGGCCACACATACCCATCGAGTTGCCTTGTCTTAGCTAGGCTGACCAAGCTGGCTAATCGTGGCTTGCATGCCCAAGTGCTCAACCATACAACTCAACTGTTCCATTTGGCTATGCATTACTCACACTAGGCGATTAACTACACACCTTGGTTAACCACCTCTCCACCTATGCCCTTTAGTGATAACACAAACCTAACCATTTCTTAGGCATCTAACCAGCCTATTCTCCATTATCCCAAATAATGAAGAGATTGTTGAGTTATAATGTCCTTTCTACTGCAAAAGTCATATGTACTAGTCTAGAAAATCACTCTCGCCCTTTACATTCAGACAATTTACATAGCAATATTATATTGGAGCCACATCTCACTACCTCTATGTCTTTTTGTGTTTGTTTCCTCCTTCTTCAATATCATGTAATACCAACTTTGTCCTAACTAATTTCCTAACTTAATTGTACATAACTCCTCTCACTCCAATTGGCTACCATTTGATCACATCAATCTCCCCACTGATGAGTCACATATACACACCAAGTGCCTTGTCTTAGCTAGGCTGACCACACTGGCTAATCGTGGCTTGTCCAATTGCTCTGCCACATAGCTCAACTGTTCCATTTGGTTATGCATTACTCACCCTTAGGCGATCAAGTACACACCCTGGCTAACCACGCTTAGCTAGGCTAACCATGCTGGATAATTATGGCTTGCTCAATTGCTCAACCACACAGCTCAACTATTCCATTTGGTTATGCATTACTCACCCCTAGGCGATCAATTACACACCCTGGCTAACCACCCATCCACTTATGCCCTTTAGTGATAATGCAAACCTAACCATTTCTTGGGCATCTAACCAGCCTACTATCCAACATCCCATATAATGAAAAGATTGTTCGATTACAATGTATTTTTTACTACAAAAGTCATATGAACTAGCCTAGAAAATCCCTCTCGCCCTTTACATCCTGACAATTTATATAGCAATATTATATTATATTGGAGCCACATCTCACCACTTCTTTGTCTTCTCGTTTTTGTTTCCTTTTTCTAAAATATAGCGTATTACATACTTTGTCCTAACCAATTGCCAACTTAATTGTTCATAACCCCTCTCACTCCAATTGGCTACCAATGTACCATGTGATCACATCAACCTCCTCACCCCTCATTGGTCACATACACCCGCCAAGTGCCTTGTCTTAGCTAGGTTGACCAGGCTGGCTAATCGTGGTCTGCCCAAATGCTTAGCCACACAACTCAATTGTTCCATTTGGTTATGTATTACCTAACCCAAGTGATCAACTACATACCCAGGCTACCCACCCATCCACCTATGCCCTTTAGTGATAACACAAAATTAACCATTTCTTGGGAATCTAACCAACCTATTGTCTATCATCCCAATTAATGAAGAGATTGATGGGTTACAATATAATATCGTCCTTTTTGCTGCAAAAGTGATATGAACTAGTCTAGAAAATACCTGTTTCCCTTTACACTCAAATAATTTATATAACAATATTATATTGGAGCCACATCTCACCACCTCTCCATCTTCTCGTGTTTGTTTCCTCCTTTTGCAATATCGTGCATTGCTAACTTTGTCATAACCAATTGTCCAACTTAATTGTTCATAACCACTCCCACTCCAATCGGCTACAATGTGATCACGTTAACCTCTCCATCCCTCATCGGCCACACATACCCACTATCTGTCTTGTCTTAGCTAGGTTGACTAGGCTGGCTAATCATGAGTTCATGACTTGCCCAAGTGCTCAGCCACACAACTCAATTGATCCATTTGGTTGTGCATTACTCACTCCAAACGATCAACTACACACCCTAACCTGGCTAACGACCCCTCCACATATGTTGTATAGTGATAACACAAACTTAATCATTTCTTGGGCATCTAACCAACCCAGTGCCCCCCATCAACCCTAAATAAATAAGTGGAATTATGAAATTAATTTAACTGTTTAAAATTCAAAGGAATAATATAATTTGTACATAGGTTAAAAGTTTTGAGGAAAACAATGGGGATATATATTTTGAGCCACCTCTTGCCCCTTATTGACTTGGTCTTGGATAAAATTCAGTGTAATTGTGATGAATATATATTACTTAAAGGTGATAATAAAAATTAGTTTTGAGAAATAAGATGAAGAAAATGTTAACATTTTATGTTCAAATAGAGAAACTACCCAGGAAGAGAAAGAAAAATCAATCAAGCAGAGGTGATATGTATGCATATAAAATATGAGAATGTATAATATGGAAAACATATCATAGAAAAGAGTAAAAAAAGAAATTAAATAAAATAAGGAATTTATAATTAATTACTTTGATATTAGGCCTCAAATGGTTATGCCATCTCTCCCTGCACTGCTTCCCTATTCTCCCTTTCAACAGCTGAGCAATGTGAGACCATTTCCGAACTCCATGCTTCTCTACCAGCTGAATCAATAGCCTGCAACAAATTAATTAAAATCATTAAAAAATAAAAAAAATAAAAATTCTCACACATACAATAATAACAATGGTGATTATTTCTCCCTTTGATTACCTGTCTTCTTCAACAGTCCATTGCCCTTTGGATGATTTGGTTTTCTTTCTACCTTTAGAGTGCTTTTTCATGGAAGCAGATGCACCATTATTATTGTTATCAGTGGTTTGATGAGCCCTACTGCTCCTCTTTCTCCCACTGGTTTCTTTGCGAAAACCTGGGTTGGCAGAAATGCAAGAACTCTCATCGGGGACAACAACGTTTGTAGGCTTCAAATCATGATGAAAGCTCAAGGTTTTGGGGTTGGGGTAGCTCAAGTATCCTCCAACGACAGCGCCACCATTGTTGTTGTTATGGGCAATTTCGCTGTGTTCTTGAGAGGGTTTGAAGAGATTGAGGTTGTTGTGGTGAGATGCTGGGGAGTTGTCATTGGAGAATGGATCAAAAGGATCGAAGCCGTTCATTTGGATGGCGAGATCAGGGTAGAAGGAGATTGGTGATGGTCCAACAAGGGGTGAGGTTGATGACGATGAGAAATGATGATCAAAGGGGTGTAAATCTTGAAAGTTATAGACCGCCTTTGAGTCTGTGTGGAAAACATCATCGAATTCGGATTTGAAATAGTTGGTTGACATGGGAAAGGGTTGGAGGGCATGGCTCACATGAGTCGAGTTGCTGTCGAACTCCATTGGAGACGAGCTCAAGAGGAGGAGAAAGAAGAAGAAGAAGATTAGAAGAAATGCAATGGTGGTCTCAATCTCTCATTTCTAGCTCTCTATATCACCTCCTTTTATGCCTTTTATAGCATAATACCAATAGTAAATATGGAGAGAGAGACATTTAATGTGTATGAATTCATCTCAGCCATCTAGTCATTTGTTCAATCTAACGGTTGTGTGTGATTGTGTGTCATTCGAGATTACTTGGTACATTTACAAAATTTAAAAAAAAAAAAATCATGAAATATGATACGCGAATATAAATTTATTTATTAAAAAGGCGTTGACTCAAATAAAAATGACTACTCTCAATTTATTTGTATTAGATTGCTTACTAAATTGTTTATAATCAAATGAGGGAGAAAATCCCTTTATAAATATTTTTACAATTGATTTTTTTTTTATTAAAAAAAAACTTATTTTTAAGTCAATTTATTTAGTTATTCCAAATAAATACTAAATTGAAAAGGGGTGTTGAAAAATAAATAATAATTCTAAAAAATAAATTAAATATTTTATAACTATAAATGTATTATAAAAATATTTATTAATTTAAATTGGATATACTTATATTACTATTTTTCCTTCTTAAATTTATCTCTCGATGAATTGAAAGGATTCCTATGTAAATGTTCTACTTGTGTATTGAACTAAAAGGTAATTTCTACAATATAATATTCTAAAGTTAGAAAGAGATGAATTTTATCACCAATTTAGTCAAGATAAAATACAGACACATTTATTTAAGGTTAATAATTCATTTTACCCTATTTAATTTTTTTTTTCTTAAAACTAAATTGTAAAAAAATAGAATTTCCTCTAAATGGATCGATTTTGCCTTATATGTAGCAACACATCTCTCAAAGTTAATTAAATCAGCTCCGAAAGGGGTGGTTGGTTGGATGAAATATGATTATCGTATTAGAAGGTCACGAGTTCTGTGATTTGTGAATTATTGCACGGGAATGTGGTTTGCCCAATGACAATGGGGTTTCCTTTGGGTATAGTTATCTCAATAAGTATTTTTATAAAAAGAATTTTTTAAAAATTACCTTGAATGTGATATTAAAAGTTTTTATATTTGACATTTTTTATTCATAAATTAATTGACCCCAGCACAAATTAAGATTTTAATTAATTTATTAATCAAATACATTTAAAAATGAATTATAGGCCAGTGTTACATGAGGAATTAAATATTAAAAAGAGAATATGACAATACTAAACAGAATAGTCTTTGGATTTTAATTTAGCAAATTGTTTGAATAATTTCTTTTAAATACAGTATTGATAATAACTTAACTCTAAATATAATTAATTAAATTTTGATGTGTAACTACTTGAGGGTGTGCATTGAATAAATCTCGGTCATGTGTGTAATAGTCTGCAAATCACACAAAAGAGGTCAATTGAACAAAGAGGTGTTGCCAAGGATAAATGGTTTTTTTTTTTTAATTGAAGGAAAATGGTCAATATTTGCATTAAGTGGGTCAAATTGGCATTAACCAGGTGAAAGTGATAAGCAAGAAATTAGCCAAACACTAAAAATATAGTAGTTGACTAACAGTCAACGAAAAATATAGTTGACTAACAGTCTAACATTTACCCAACATAATTACCCACTCTGATCTTAACTTCTTAATTAAGGTAAATACATATATGAGAATAGGTGCTAAAGTTTAAAAACAGAAAAAAATTAAATGAAAAAATTGCCAAGGAATTAAAAGGATTAAAATAGTATAATTTATGGTTAATATTTTAATAATCTGATTTTTAACATTGGTGATGATGCCTAAATTAATTAATTACCTAATTATCATCCTACATTCCGTTTTTATTTTCCATTTATATTTATATGGAATGTATAGTGCCAATCTTATAATTTTGTGGTGAATAGTGGAAATTTACTATTTTAAGAAGAATTCTATAAAGCTAAGTAATGGTGTCTGTGTGGGGGTGGGTTGGGGGAGATTCGGATCAAATAATAAGAACAGTGGCGCATGATAAAACTAGGAACCAATTAGAGTCGTCCATCTGAAAAGATCTAATGACTTTAAAAAAGTGAAAGAGGCAAAAAAGGCGCAAATAACGTTAAGTGAAACTTTAAGTGCAAGTAATAATATTATGGAATGCACTTAATAACACCATAGAGTTCAACAATATTAAGTGCATATAACGTTATTATTAATTTCACCAAATGTTGGTTTGGTAAAAGTTTCACCAAATGTTAAAGTTAATTACTTGCACTCTATAGTGTACAAGTTTCACTTTATAGTGATGTTACTTACACATTTTACTTGAACACTTGCACACGTTACCTGAACTTCAAAATTTGAGCTATTTACAAAAATGTCAATACGTTTTTTTTTTTTTAAATTGCTTCTAATGCATTAGATCTTTCCAGATAGAAAGCTTCAATTAGTTCTTAGTTCTCCCCTGGGCAGCAATATATAGAGGACTGTGCGGACAG